GTGTGATGACCTTTATTTAGTAAGGTCATAGTGGTGTGTGTGTGTGTGTGTGTGTGTGTGTGTGTGTGTGTGTGTGTGTGTGTGATGACCTTTATTTAGTAAGGTATGTGTGTGTGTGTATTCCCTATGGTTTTTAAACACGTATATACACAGAGTAAAATCCATACACAAAACTTTTAACTGTTAGAAATTTCTGTATTTTTATTGGGTAGTGATGTTAAATATTCTTGTATCCTCGTGTGAAAGATTTAACATGAGGAGTTTACGTATAGTGTCAAAAATCTCATCATTAATAACGCACGTAACTGCTATAAATATTGACAGGAGTAGCTAGATATCGAACTGCATCTAGACGTACGAGATATCAAACTGCATACCAAATTTCATATCGATATCACGTGGAAACGATTTTCTCCTCTGGGCCGATGGACAAACGGAGGAATTTTTTAAACTGCCGTATCGAGCCCAAAAATGGACAGAGGGGGTTGATTTTTTAACTCAATCTTGGTACTGGTGATGTGAAACTGTATACCAAATTTCTGTAGGATCCGTGAAGACTGTGTTAAGTTATTGGTTGGAAGAATTTTGTATAAGCGGACGCCGGAGAGGTGGGAAATATTGTATGGGAGGGGAGACAAATCTCTGTTTACGCCTCACACAGGAGAGAGCCTTACCAGCCTCGTCCACTCACATGGCTTATTCCCACACTCCTCCTATCACCTCTCCCCAGCCTCTCTCTCTCTCTCTCTCTCTCTCTCTCTCTCTCTCTCTCTCTCTCTCTCTCTCTCTCTCTCTCTCTCTCTCTCTCTCTCTCTCCTTCATATCCAGGCTTCTCACCTCCTCATCCCTTACTCTCCCACCTCCCCTCCTCCTCCCAACCTCTCACTTCTATCACCACCCACACCTAGTGATCTAACTCCGTCAGGTGACCGTAGAGACCCTGGCCGCATCGTCGACATCAGGGACGGTCGACCTTACTGACGTGATGGGTAGGGGATGACACTGTCCTGCCCCGCTGAGACAACAATCGCTTGTATCAACATAAGTCAGGTGGCGGAGCTGTGAATACCGACAACAGCGCTGTCGTTCTGCTGTTATCGGCTGTTTGTCTGTGTCCTCCTGTTGTTAAGAGCTGTCAGGGGGGTATTGGTTGTTGTCGTGGTGCTGTTAGAAGCTGTTACTAATGGTCGTTCTTATAATTGATGCTGATGTCGTTAAAGCTGTCTACATTACTGATTGTTTTAGACAGCCACCATCTTTATGGCTGTCAGGCTGTCCTGCTGACCTAACTAACAGACTCTGGCGTCATTAGAAACACGAAAATTTGACGGAAAATATTAACAAAAACAACAGTACAAATATAATAAACAAAATACAATCGAAGAAACGAAGGTAATTAATCGAGACGAATATAATAATTAAACCAAAATAAATTAGATATATTTAATTAGGGACTTAGATCACCGTCTAAACCTATACCTCATTAAAAGTCTTAGAGTTCTGATTTAATATTAAAGTTTGGCTGAATACCAGGGAGCTGCTGCCACTCCTCTCCTGGTGGCTAATTATGACTCGCTCTAATTAATTATCATTCATAATCCAACCAATAGGAAGCCTGGATCTTGCCTCTATTTTTAGGAAGGACCAATGGGGAAGTTTGTTTTTCCTGCTATTTTTTCTTTTTGAGGGGCCAATGGGAATGCTGGATATTCCCGCTATTTTTAGGAAGCCATTAGGAAGTTTGTTTTTCCAGCCAATTTTAAGAGGCCAATGGGAATGCATTTTCTGTTTCGTTGTTTGTTGGGAGCCAATGGGAATGCTGGATTTCACTGCTACTTGTTGAGGGGCCAATGAAAACCTGAACCCTTCTCCATGATACTACTAGTTAGCATAGGTTAGGTTAGATTTACTTTAGGTTGGTTAATCTTAAGTTGAAATACGATGGACGTGTTAATCTCATAAGTCCAAGTAACGTCAGAGTGAAACATAACGTCATTATATTTCTCGAACCAGTAACGAAGAGCTTGGCGTGTCTCGAGGAATCCAGGAGAATTGTCAGGATGAGAGAACGTGATCGCCTTATCTCGCCATACGATTTATCCAATGAGAAGCCAAGAATCTCCCGCCAAATCTGGGTTATCCAATGAAAAGCCAAGAATCTCCCGCCAAAAATCTGGGTTATCCAATCAGAAGCCAAGACTCTCCCGCCAAACTGTACTGGGACCAATGAGGACACCTGCTATTGTCCCGCCACCACACCACCTACCTATACAGGAGCACTGATGTGTCACTAACTTCAGGGTGAATAACAACTGCTGACACACACACACACACACTGCCACACACACACACACACACACACACACACACACACACACACACACACACACACACACACACTGCCACACATACACACACACACAGGGGGTTTATTGTTTCCGTGTTGTGTTGCTGTTCTTGGTATATCCTGTTAAGGGTATATTGGTGTTACATTGTGTTGCTATATCCTGCCAGTGGTATATTTTTCCTATATTGCTTCAGGTATTAATATATACTGTATATTCCTCTCTCTTGTCATGTTAGTCTATTTCTTGCTGGTATATTCGTTTGTCTCGTTATTAATCAGTTTAGTCTTTATGTCATTTGTAT